GCCCAGGAGTTGGAGGTTGCTGTGAGCTGTAATGCCATGGCACTCTACCCAGGGTGACAGCTTGAGGCTCTGTCTCAAAAAAAAAAAAAAAAGAGAATCGCTGAAGCCCAAGAGTTTGAGATTGCTGTGAGCTGTGATGCTATGGCACTCTACCCAGGGCGACAGCTTGAGACTCTGTCTCAAAAAGAAAAGAATTAACTTGAGTATAAAAAGGACTGTAAGGTGGCAGAGGCATTGAAAGAGTATTTTAGGCAGAGGGACCACCTTGTGCAAAAAGGTCAAGGAAAACTAAAGTATGTTTAGTAACTTTGAAAAGACTGAGTTTATGGCAGCATCCTAGAGAACCTGAGGATCTGGCATTCAAGTTTGTTTCTTTTTTTGACATAAGTTCACTCTGTCACTTGGGGCTAGAATCCTCATAGCTTACTACAACCTCAAACTCCTGGCCTCAAGCGATTGTTCTGCCTTGGCCTCCCAAAGTGCTAGAATTACAGGTGTGAGCCACTTCTTTTTCTCATTTGTAATTATCAGTATCACGTTGTGTTCACACTGACACGGATGAGAAGAACCTCTTCTTACCAATACCCAGATTTTCCTCTTGCTTTAACTAGACTGTCTCTGAAATTGCCTTTTATTTATTTATTTTTGAGTCAGAGGAGTCTCACTTTGTCATTCTATGTAGAGTGCTGTGGTGTTATAGCTCACGGCAACCTCCAGCTCTTGGGCTTGAATGATCCTCTTGCCTCAGCCTCCCAAGTAGCTGGGACTACAGGTGCCTGCCACAATGCCCAGCTATTATTGGAGATGGGGTCTCCCTCTTGCTCAGGCTGGTCTCACACCCATGAGTTCAGGCAGTTCACCCACTTTGGCCTCCCAGAGTGTTAGGATTACAGGTGTGAGCCACCGTGCGCAACCAGAATTCGAATTCTTTCTTTTCCACATCTGATGGGTAGTGTGTTGATGATGTACTGAGACTTGAGGCAGGAATATTTCACACTATAGTATGAAAACTCAAACATCATGTTTATGAGCGACAGCAGGATCTGTGTGTAAGAATCTTTTTTTTTTTGAGACGGAGCCTCAAGCTATCCCCCTGGGTAGAGTGCCATGGCATCACAGCTCACAGCAACCTCCAACTCCTGGGCTCAAGCGAGTCCCCTGCCTCAGCCTCCCAAGTTGCTGGGACTCCAGGCGTCCGCCACAACGCCTGGCCATTTTTTGGTTGCGGCCATCATTGTTGTTTGATGGGCCTGGGTTGGGGATTTGAACCCGCCACCTTAGGTGTATGTGGCTGGTGCCTTAGCCGCTTGAGCCACAGGCGCCAAGCCTGTGTGTAAGAATCTTTAAGGAAAATTCTGGGTTACAAGATCTAAAGATTTGTATTCTTTTTGGAGTTAGTCTGGCGCCATGTAAAAGCCATTTTTTTTTAAATTAAATCATGGTCATGTACATTGATACTTTCATGGGGTACAGTGTGTTGTTTCCATATACAATTTGAAATATTTTCTTTTTCCTTTGTTTTTTTTTTTTTTTGAGACGGAGCCTCAAGCTATCCCCCTGGGTAGAGTGCCATGGCATCACAGCTCACAGCAACCTCCAACTCCTGGGCTCAAGCGAGTCCCCTGCCTCAGCCTCCCAAGTTGCTGAGACTCCAGGCGTCCGCCACAACGCCTGGCCATTTTTTGGTTGCGGCCATCATTGTTGTTTGATGGGCCTGGGTTGGGGATTTGAACCCGCCACCTTAGGTGTATGTGGCTGGTGCCTTAGCCGCTTGAGCCACAGGCACCGAGCCGAAATATTTTCATCCACTTGGCCAACATAGCCTTCATGTCATTCTCATAGTAAAAACCATTTTTGTTGGAATCTGGTTTGAACTGTGTCAATTGTTTTGGTACCAATTTTGTGAACCTGGGCAAACAAATTAATTTCTGCCTTAATTATCTCTAACATGGAGCAAATTATAGACATAGTGGCTCATGCCTGTAATCCTAGCATTTTGGGAGGCTGAGGTGGGAGTGTCACTTGATCTCAGGAATTTGAGACCTTCCCGAATAGTAAAGATGTCCTCATCCTCCCCCACATGTCTACATAAAAAGAGAAATAAAGCTGGTTCTGGTGGTGTTCACTTGTAGTTCCAGCTACTCAGGAGGTTGAGGCAGAAGGGAATGAATTGCTTGAGCTCAGGAGTTTGAGAGTTGACTGAAAGAGTGAGACCCCAACTACAGAAAAAGTAAAAAACCCAGTTGGGTGCCATCACATGTGCCTATAATCCCAGTAGCTCTCCACGCTGAGGCAGCAGGATGCCTACTGCCCGAGTCTGATGTTGCGATGTTGCAGCGAGCTATCGTGACACTATTGTACTCTGTTCAGTGCACAGGGTGAGACTGTGTCATCAAAAACAATACAACCAAAAAACAACAAAAAAAGAGATCTGATTTCTCCATCAAAGATGAAAGTTTTGCAGGGTTCAGAATCCTAGGTTCACAGTTGTTTTTTTTGTTTGTTTGAGAAGATTGAAGGTGGGTGCTTAACTACTGGCTTGTACAATTTCAGGTGGAATTCTGATGGGTTTGCCCTTGTAGGTGGCTGCCTGCAGATTTTTCTCTTTCATTTTGGCTTTGACCTGTCTAATTACATTGTGTCTAGGAAATGCTTTGTTTGAACTGAGTTGGCCTGGGGTTTGATATCTATTAAGTGGGCAAATGTTTGAATCTATAGTGATATCACAGAAATTTTCAGTTATAATATACTTGACTAAGTGTTCCATGCTATTGGGACTTTTTTCTTCAAGGATACCTATAATTTGTATGTTGGTATGTTTCATAAAAGTCCCATAATTCTGTAAAAGATTCCTCTGCTTTTACTCTTTTCTGCCTCTTTAAATGACTTGGTTAGCTTGAGAGCCTTGTCTTCCTTCTGAGATTTGTTCTTCTGCATAATTTAGTCTCTTACTAAACTTTCTGTTACTTTTTTTCTTTCTTTTTTTTTTTTTTGAGACAAAGTCTCATTATATTGCTCTTGGTAGAGTACTGTGGTGTCACAGCTCGTGCAATCTCCAACTCTTTGGGCTTAAGTGATTCTATTGCCTCAGCCTCCCAAGTAGCTGGGACTACAGGCACCCACCACAATGCCCAGCTATTTTTTGTTGTTGTCATTGTTTAGGAGGCCCTGGGTGGGTTCAAAGCCACCAGCCTGGTGCATGTGGCTGGCGCCCCAACCACTGAGCTGTGGGCACCACGCCTTTTTTATTTATTTTATTTTTATTTTTTTGAGACAAGAGTCTCACTTTGTCGCCCCCTGCCCATAGCTCACAGCAACCTCAGACTCTTGGGCTCAAGTGATTCTCTTTGCCTCAGTCTCCCAAGTGGCTGGGCCTATAGGGTCTTGCTCTTACTCAGGCTGGTCTTGAACCGGTGACCTTAGGCAGTTCACTCGCCTCAGCCTCCCAGAGTGTGGGGATTATAGGCTTGAGCCAGTGCGCACAGCCACCTTTTTGTTTTCTTTTTCTGTTTTTTTTTTTTCAAATGGTGTCTTTCTCTGTCACCCTGGGTAGGGTGCTGTGATGTCATTGTAACTTCAAACCCCTGGGCTCAAAAGATCCTCTTGTTTCAGCATCCCAAGTAGCCAGGACTAGAGGCATAGGCTACCACACCCAGCTAGGTTTTCTATTTTTAGTAGAGATGGTATCTTGCTCTTCCTCAAGCTGGTTTCAACCTCCTGAGCTCAAGAAATCTACCTGCCTCAGCCTACCATTTATTACCTTTGGAAACGTTCTGAATGACTCCCAATTCCTTTTTGTTTCTTTATATTGTTTGTTTCTTTTTTTGAGACAGAGCTTCAAGCTGTGGCCCTGGATAGAGCACAGCTCTCAGCAACCTCCAGCTCTTGGGCTTAAGCAATTCTCTTGCCTCAGCCTCCCAAGTAGCTGGGACTTCAGGCACCCACCACAACACATTTTTTAGTTGTAGTTGTCATTGTTGTTTGGCAGGCCGGGGCTGGATTTGGACAGCTCTGGTGTATGTGGCTGGTGCCTTAGCCTGCTTGAGCCTAGGCACTGAGCCTTTTATATTGTTTCTAATTGTGTCTAGATCTTTGGAGACTTTGCCCTCTCTTTTGTTAAATTCTTAGGTCAAGTTTTAGATTTCCTTTGGCTGGTTTTCCACTTTTCTTTCAGTTTCCTTCATCATTTTTGCTGTCCATAATCGAATTCCCTTTCTGTCATTTCCATAATTTTGTAGTCGGGATTTTCTGAGGTAGCTACATTGTTACCCCTTTTGGAAGATGATCTGGTTAGATACTTTATTTATTTATTTATATTTTTAGTGGAGATGGGGCCTTACTCTTACTGAGGCTGGTCTTGAATCCTCAGTTCAAGCAATCCACTTGCCTCAGCCTGCCAAAGTGTTAGGACTATAGGCATGAGCCACTGTGTCAGGCTTTGTCATCATACTTTATGATGGCAGTGATTTTTTTTTTTTTGGTTCTTTCTCATGTGTGGTTTCTTTTTCTTTTTTTGAGACAGATTCTCACTATCTCTAACCCTTGGTAGAGGCTGTATTATAGCTCACAGCAATCTCAAACTCTTGGGCTTAAGTGATTCTCTTGCCTTCGTCTCCCAAGTAGCTGGGACTACAGGCACCCGCCACAACACCCTGCTATGTTGTTGTTGTTGTTGTAGTTGTCATTATTGTTTGGCAGGCCTGGGCTGAGTTCAAAGCCACCAGGCCCAGTGCATTTGGCTGACGCCCTAGCCACTGAGCTGCAGGTGCCAAGTTGACCTCATATGTGGTTTCTTCTTTGACTCTGGGTTATGTTGTTGTTCTTTTTTTTTTGTAATTGAGACAGAGTCTCACTATGTTGCCCCCAGTAGAGTGTCATGGCGTCAAAGCCCACAGCAACTTCAAATGCTTGGGCTTAAGTGATTCTCTTGCCTCAGCCTCCCAAGTAGCTGGGACTACATATGCCCGCCACAATGTCTGGCTACGCCTGGCTATTTTTGTTGTTGTTGCAGTTGTTATTGTTGTCTTAGCTGGCCTGGGCTAGGTTTGAACCCGCCAGCCTCAGTGTATGTGGCCAGCACCCTTACCTACTGAGCCACAGGTGCCGCCCTGGGTTATATTCTTCTTATGGAGGGTTAAAAAAATTTTGTAAGATTCCAGGGGACACTCCTATATTATGAAAAGCGTAGTTGCTCTTGGATGTGAAGTTCTGAGGCTGGAAATTGAATTTTACATCTTATATCAGGTTGTCAAGGAGATTGGAACTGGTTTTCCTATTCTGAGAGTATCTGCTTATATGGGTGTGGGACAGTATCCCAGGCCAGGTGCCTAAGCGGGATGATGAAGTGTATTGCAGCCTACCTTTGGGTAACTGTGGAAACTGTTTCCCTGAGGCAGGGATGTGCCCTGGTGATCCACATTATGCATAGACATGGAAAAGTGGCCAGTGATGGGGGCAGGACCTCTGTAATCTGGTAATCTGTTTGACAGAGCTATGGGCTCTGACCAAAGATGGCTATGCACACCTGGAAAGTGGCCAAAGTTGGTTACATAACCAATCCCCGAAAAGCCACACTACTCTTGACATTCGTGGTCTTCAGGGAATTCAGGGTCACAAGGAAGCAGAGCCCCATTCCTCTAATAAGCAGCCCGGTCACCTACTCCCCAGTCTTCACATCCAGATCGACCTATGTTCTTTAATGTAAGCATTTAGCCACAAACTGGGGCTCCATCCCTAAAGAGATTGCAAGCCAGACCGTATTCCCTCCAGTTCTTTGCTGTAGCACTAGCATTTGAGTACCCAACAATCTTATCTGTGCCCAGGTTGCACATGTTTCTGTTCCCTCCTTATCGGAAAGGCCTACCCAGGAATTGAACAGATACTGGCCCACCCAGGCGAAGGATAGTCACCCTTTCTCATTGGCAGCCCCCTAGCAACTCTACTTGTAGGCTCTTTTCCTAGGTTTCTATGATCCTCTGCACCTACTTTTCCTTCAGGCCTCCCTCTTTTCTTAGCATTTCTGTTAGTGCTGTCACTCTGTGCC